CCCAGCTGGAGTGCAGTGGTGTGATCTCAGCTCACTGCAACCTCTGCCTCCCAGGTTCAAGCGATTCTCTTGCCTGAGTCTCCTGAGTAGCTGGGATTACAGGCACCTGCCACCATGCCCAGCTAATTTTTGTATTTTTAATAGAGATGGGGTTTCACTATGTTGGCAGGCTGGTCTCGAACTCCTGATCTCAACTGATCTGCCTGCCTCAGCCTCCCAAAGTGCTGGGATTACAGGTGTGAGCCACCGTGCCTGGCCAAACCCCCTTATACTGATGCAGCACGTGCACCCAGTAGAGAGAGCCTTCCTCTACAGCACGTCACATCATCTGATTCTCGAGGCAGCTGGTTAACAGGAGTAGGTCAGATCTACTACTATGCACCCATTTTGCAGAGAGGCTCAGAGACAGCCATGACATCAGCCTCCTGTTCTGATGGAGGCTGGAGCACGCTGGGGTCCAGCTGGGTCTTCTCTGGCTGGGACTCCAGCTTCTTCCCCAGGCACCGCTCTGAATATCTCCTCCACCTTTCTTGGAGCCACAGCTCCCTGGGACCCTCTGCATAGCACTCACCAGCTTCAACCCAAATCATTTACTCACATTAACCCATGAGCTCCTGGAGGGACAGAGGGGAGCTGCACTTATCTGTTCTTTGAAAGCTCAATGTGTAGCACTGTCTCTGGGATACAGTGTTTGTTACACCATAACTAAAATTTTCCCAAATGTTCCCTGCCAACAGCTTTAATCAGCACCATCTTGAAATATTACATAGCCATATTGCAATATTACTGCCTGTACTATTTTGCCAAGCTTCTGCAAGCCTCACTTTTCCCTTCTGTAAAACAGGAGGAGGAGGAAGAGTAATAGTATCCAGCACTTGGAGGTGTGTGAGGCTTAAGTGAGAGCTCTGGAAAGAGCACAAGCAGCGCCTTATTGAAATGAGACACGAGGAAAGATGTGCGCCCCTAAATACAATGGTCAAGATATCCTCTTGCATTTTGAACCAAGTGGAGAAAGTCAATAAAGACCCTACATCTGAAACACACATACACAGAAACTATGTATAATGGTCCCCGTGGCCCAATTTATTTGCACCCACATAAACCTCCTCTTCAGAGACGTCCTGGCCAAGTAACCCCTCGCTAACTGGAATTGACTGTGCTCCCTGGCACAACACTGAAGGGGAGTAAAACAACCCCCCACAGCCTGTCTATTGAAAATGTTGATATTTTGGACATTGTAATTTTATACACTAATTTTGACATTATAAATAATATCTTTTTTTTTTTTTTTTTTTTTCGAGATAGAGTTTCACTCTTGTCGCCCAGGCTGGAGTACAATGGTGTGATCTTGGCTCACTGCAACTTCCGCCTCCCGGGTTCAAACAATTTTTCTGCCTCACCCTTCTGAGTAGCTGGGATTACAGGCACCCCCCTCCACCACACCTGGCTAATTTTTTTATCTTTAGTAGAGTCGGGATTTCACCCTGTTGGCCAGGCTGGTCTCCAACTCCTGACCTCAGGTGATCCACCACTTTGGCCTCCCAAAGTACTGGGATTACAAGTGTGGGCCATCGTGCCTGGCCAGTATCTTACCTTGATTACTGATTTTCTTGGTGCCCTCTTACATTTTGCACCCAAGGTTAGCGCCTCCCTCACCTCCTCCAAATTCCAGCCCTGGGTATCTGGTAAATTTTTCTGTAAATGGGGGGCCCGTCATAAAATGTGGAGATGAGGACCCTCTTTCATCTATCTTTGTGTCCTGAACTCCTTTACACCTGAATACACTGTCTCCAATGAATGAATGAATGAATGAGTTGCCTCCATACCTAGCTGGGGGCTATGCATATGCCGGCCTCCTAAAAGATTTCGGGGACAAGTGACATGGAATATAAGAATATGCAATCTAGCCTTTTCTAGGCATTCTGGGCCGTGTTCACAGATCTCAGCAGACATCCAAAAGTTCCCAACTCGTATCCCATTGCCCTGACATCTATCCAAAGGAAAGGCCTTGACTGACGTGACAAACAACAGCTTTGACATCCCTCCGCTTTTGCAGTGGAGTTGTTGTCAAGGACATCGTCTGTTCTAGGAAGCCTGAGAAAAGATCCGTGTACTAAGGGCTAAGAGAAGTGTTGCCATCCCTTAAGAAACTATATGGTGTTTTTCCTCTCTGATAAGAACTGTGGAGCTGCCACTGTCCCCTTTTTCCCTGTGAGTGCCAGGAGACTCAGACGGTGCCAAGG